GTTCATTCTATGATACAAAAGAAAGAGGAAACTGGCTGGAAATGTCTATTTTTAATGGTTTCGCTTGCTATTGTGTTAAATATTGCAAGAAAACGGAAATTAAAAAAAACTGCTCTAGAGGATGGAAGCATTAATCTCTTTGTACGTTACTGGTGCAGCCCTCCAGTTAATATGTTCATCTCTTTAAAATATGCTACAGAGCCAGTCCAATACATCGTATCCCAGCTGCTCTGATCATGTTCTGGATGTGTTCAAGGTAGTGAGCTTGTACAAAGGGATGTATTGACTAAGTACAAGTTCTGAATTGGAAAACCACCTTCACTTCTTAAAGCTGTGAGACGTTACAATTTCAAAGTTGTAATTGTTCCACTTTAGTTATTACCAGGTATTTTATTCTCTCTCCTGTGGATCTATTGAAGGTCTATCCTTCAAGCTCGGGTCCTCTACCAGACGCCTGGGAGCTTGAGGGTCCGGTGCAGTATCTTAGCTGTTCCTAAGACTTTGCTCTTCTAGACAGAGATCTCAGATGTTGTTCCTGGGATCTACTGGAGTCACTCGCCTAGCTTGGGAGTCACTGCACCTAGTGGTCCGATTACCACTGCGACAGGGGTTGGCAACCCGCGACTTTTTCATCCTTATACTGCAGCTCCGTGTGGCTTGGGAAAATAAATTATAAGTATTTAATTGAAGTATATTTTATTTGTGTAGGTGCTTTTTTTAAAATTGTAGATCTAAATTGGAAGATTGTGATCTTGAAATATTAAAATAAAATAAAATAACATTTTATTTTTTGTCAGTCAAAATAAGCGTCACACTTCACACCAGAAGGCTGCGCTCATTCAGAATCACAAATGGGTGGTATTGAGAACCTTCCAGATGAACTCGTGTTTGAAACATTGAATGCCATCCCCGACACATAAACACGAAGAAATATGCATTCAGAGTCATCTCGATCTTTGGATCCACATACTATATGAGCAGCTATTCTCCACCATGAACGATGTTAAAAACAAAACACCGCTCATGCCTCACAGACGACAGCTTACAGTCCTGAGCCTAAAAGAGCCTTTGGCAGTGACTGACTTTAGAGATTGGAGCAGATGACTTTTTCCTGGAGGGTGTGTGCACTACCTCATACTCAAAAGGGCAACTGCACAAAAGATTTGGCAGCAGTGACATCATATTTGATAAAAACATAACTACCAGCATGGTAGTTCTCTACAAAGAAAATGGAGGAGAAATACGGACTTCTCAGAAAAGCTGTCATCGCACTGTGTCTCTACTGCAGACACATCTCCAGGGGCAAAGCTTCATACACCTCAAGGCACCAGTTCCTCTCCAGAGACAGCTGGTTGTGTCAGTCAACAGCCATGCTGGAAGTGAC